CCCGCCGGTTCTAGCACAGTCTGGGGGCAGGGTTCTAGCACAGTCTGGGGGCACGGTTCTAGCACAGTCTGAGACCCGCCGGTTCTAGCACCCCGGGGCCCTAGTACAGCGTGGGGCAGTAGCTGGGGGGTCACTAGTCCGTGCAAGGGGCAGTGCTGAGCAGTGGCCTCTCTCCCCCTGGCAGGCACCCGCAGGGCCTGAGTGCCACTTGCTCCCCTCAGGGCCAGCCGGGCGCCCCGCCCCCTCGAGAGCTCCCTGTGAGTTAGGCCTGTTGAGCTTGCTGCTCCCACACGCACCCGCCCGGACCACGGTGCCCTATTGGCTCCCTAACGTTCTAAGCCCGCCTTAAGCTGCTTTTCTCTCAGCCCGGACCCGCCCATCTAGGTCTCACTTCTATCAGGCGCAATGGATGACCTCACCGCTCCAAACTCTGACATGCGCGCCTCGCCGCTCAGAGCCCGAGCACGCGCAATATGGGCTGATCCGGAATGCGCATGCGCTCTGAGTGGCTGCTGTCGGCTCTGCCACCAGCGTTGTGTGCGGGGCTCGGTTCGGGCATGCGCAGTCTGGGCTAGTCAGGGCGCTATCCGGGAATGCGCATGCGCCAGAACTAGCCCGTCCACCGGCGACGCAGGCCGGGTTCAGCTCTCCTTGACATGCGCAGTAAGCGCGCTGGGCGGGCGAGAGCACGGAAGTCTCAAGCGAGTAAGCGCCGGCCGCGTAACTAAGATGGCGGCCTCCGTGCGGCGCTGCGCCGTGGCCTGGCTGGTCCCCGCCGCGGGGCTGCTGGCGCTGCTGGCCGGCCCGGGGGCGCTGGGGAAGCGGAGTGAAGTGACGGTGCTGACGGACGGGACGTGGCGGCAGCTGCTGCAGGGCGAGTGGATGATTGAATTGTGAGTGCGCGCGAGGGACGGGACCGCCCCTCCCCCCGGCCCGCGGCGCCCCAGGGTGTCTCCCCTCCCCCACCAGCCCCGCAGGGACATGCTGGGGGGAGGAGGAGGGGGGACGTGGTGTCCGGGCCTCGGCCCGCGCTCCCCCTCCCCCCATCCGCGAGTCCCTCCCGGGGGGGCGAGTGTTCTCGGGACCACTAGGGCGTCGCCCCATGCTCCCAGCCGGCCCTGGTGTGTGTTGGGGGCGCCCCTCCTCCCTCAGGCCGCCCTGCTGCTGCTGCGGTGGGGGTGGGGCTCCGGGGGCCCAGCCCCCCCCCCCCCCCCGGTGTGCAGCCTGCCGCTGGGATCCTGGCCCCTCCAGCTGTGCTGAGATTTCCAAGGTGAACCACCACCTCATGGACCCTCCAGCCCCCGCATTGAGGCCGGGCCACACGTTATCTAGACTTGATACAAGTGTTTACCCAACCTGTTCTTAAAAACCTCCAATGATGGCGAGTCCCCAGCCTCCCTAGATAAGCAATTCCAGTGCTTAACTACCCTTAGAAGCCTGTTTTAGTGACTGTCTAGCCTAAATCTCCCTTGGTGCAAGGTCTGTTAATTGGGATTATTTTTTTCATCTATGATTCTGCACCAGTGTCTCAGGCAGGATTGGGCAGCTTTTAAAACCGAGGCTAGTTTCTCCTTTGTGCAGACTTCTTTCAGTAACTGTAACGTTCACAGTCTGCCATACTGAGTTTTGCTAACAATTGTTCTCTTAGGGAGCTGTTGCTTAAGAGGTAGTAAAGGTGGCAAGCTTATGAGGCCTGAAGGCATGGCTTAAACATGAGGTGATGGTGATAGCTGAGAGCTGACTCTGTGGTAAATCAGATCTTTAATTCGCTTAATCTGTTAAAATGGGGTGTGGCTGCCCATTTGTTAATATCTCTTTAGCACTGGAGCCTTAGTGTGTATTAAGTCACTAGGCACATTACTTGCAGTGCAGTGTTTATATTCTGGCTTATTACTGCATGGTTGAATAAAATAGCATTGTGTTTCCTCCCACTGTGTTTTTTGAGACCCACTTTATTTTTCAGTTATGCTCCCTGGTGTCCTGCCTGTCAGAACCTGCAGCCTGAATGGGAAAAGTTTGCTGAATGGGGGGAAGATCTTGAAATTAACATTGCAAAAGTGGATGTCACAGAACAGCCAGGTAATCCCTGTTACGTATCTGAAAAAAGAAACAATATTTTATACAAAAAGAACAGGAGTACTTGTGGCACCTTAGAGACTAACAAATTTATTAGAGCATAAGCTTTCGTGGGCTACAACCCACTTCTTCGGATGCATATTGAGTGAAACATATCGAGGAGATATATATACACACATACAGAGAGCATGAACAGGTGGGAGTTGTCTTACCAACTCTGAGAGGCCAATTAAGTAAGAGAAAAAAAACTTTTGAAGTGATAATCAAGGTAACCAAGTACAGACAGTTTGATAAGAAGCAAGTGTGAGAATACTTACAAGGGGAGATAGATTCAATGTTTGTAATGGCTCAGCCATTCCCAATCCCTATTTAGCCCTGAGTTGATTGTGTCTAGTTTGCATATCAATTCCAGCTCAGCAGTCTCTCGTTGGAGTCTGTTTTTGAAGTTTTTCTGTTTTAAGATAGCCACCCGCAGGTCTGTCATAGAATGGCCAGACAGGTTAAAGTGTTCTCCCACTGGTTTTTGAGTATTATGATTCCTGATGTCAGATTTGTGTCCATTAATTCTTTTGCGTAGAGACTGTCCGGTTTGGCCAATGTACATGGCAGAGGGGCATTGCTGGCACATGATGGCATATATCACATTGGTAGATGTGCAGGTGAACGAGCCCCTGATGGTATGGCTGATGTGATTAGGCCCTATGATGGTGTCACTTGAATAGATATGTGGACAGAGTTGGCATCGGGCTTTGTTACAAGGATAGGTTCCTGGGTCAGTGTTTTTGTTCAGTGATGTGTGGTTGCTGGTGAGTATTTGCTTTAGGTTGGGGGGTTGTCTGTAAGCAAGGACAGGTCTGTCTCCCAAGATCTGTGAGAGTAAAGGATCATCTTTCAGGATAGGTTGTAGATCTCTAATGATGCGCTGGAGAGGTTT